CCCCCCCCATTCTCGGGAGCACTGCGTGCCTCGGATCTGCGGTTCCTTGGGTTCCATGCTGTCTCACACTGTAGCACTATGGGCCACGTGCTTCGCCGCCAATCTGGGTTATGTTAATGCTCCTGCAGAGGTGAGAACAACCAGAGAGGAGCGCTTCTCATTTCTTATTTTTTAATTTATTTTCTGGCAGTCGCGTACACCCGAGAGAGCAGCCAGTGCTTTTGAACCGTCAGGTTATTCATCGTGAATATGGTGGTTGTCTGCTCTGCCGTAGGACCGTGGTGACTGGGCAGAGAGTCACACTCGCAGAAATCATCATGGTTTTATCCAGGTTACCGTGGTCACGGATTGCAGCACCAAGCTTGAGTGGTGAAGTAACATTCCCCACTTGTCTTCCAGGACCCGGGACCGTTGCCCCCGTCCCCTATCCTGGGACAGAAACCACTGCAGTTGCTGGAGATTAAGGCCAGGGGGCGCTTCGGCTGTGTGTGGAAGGCTCAGCTGCTCAATGACTATGTGGCCGTCAAGATCTTCCCCCTCCAGGTACGTGGTCCTGGTGATGACAAGTCACACGTGATGTTTTCATGCTGCCAGTTAGGCGGGATCGCGAGCACTTTGAATGTTTCAAAATCCCGCCACTGCATCAAGAAGAGCTCCTTTGACCAAGTGCAGCCTCCCAGTGCCTCTTTCTTAGACTCCTTCACTGTTTCTTCCCGCCTCCGCTCTCAGATCCCACTGCTGCGTAGCTCGTATAGATTATATGCCAGCGGCACATCAAAACATTGCGTTCTTCGCTGTGGACAAAACACGCTATCCCTGAAACGTGTCATGCTTCCCTTCCATAAACAGAAATGCTTCTCCCATGATTTTGTGACTGCCACTCATGGCCAGCAGGGGCACTGATGAGCATCAGCACACACTGGTTAATGCAACACTGGCTCTTGGATGCCAGCAAAACAGAACCAGTGTTTGTCCCCCCCCCCCAGCGGATCTCCTAGGGCAACTGTGCTTTCATTCGCGCACTGTCTGTCACTCTGTGGCAAACAGTCACCGCCCCCCCCTTTCAGGTCCTAAGCCCCCCCCCCCCTCCCTGACCCTCCACAGGATAAACAGTCATGGCAGAACGAGTATGAGATCTACAGCCTGAGCGGCATGAGGCACGACAACTTGCTGCAGTTCATGGGGGCTGAGAAGAGGGGCACCAACATGGACATGGAGCTTTGGCTCATCACCGCCTACCATGAGAAGGTGAGCGCCGGCTCCCCCTGCAGGAAGGCTCAGCATGATGCCAGACCTGGCCGAAACCAGGGACCTGTACTACGAAGCAGGGTTATTGGCTTATCGGGGTAACCTGTCGGGTTTAAGGTAGTCTGGGCAAAATGTAAGTGAACGAATATGAAGTCACTTCATTTACTTACTTACATTTTTCCCAGACTACCTTATATCTGACAAGTTACTCCGATAAGCCAGTAAACCCTCTTCATAGTACAGGCCACAGGAAGAGCTTGGTCAGAGATAACATGATAACCTGCTTTCCTGCGACCACACCCTGACATGGTTATATAACAGATGCTCCTAAGAGAGCTTGAGGGATGGGGTTCATTGGCAGGGGTGAATTTTTTTGCATGCAGTCTTGCACAGAAGGTGCAAATACAGTGCCGACTGTGTACCTCTGCCCCCTGGTGGTTATCAGTGGCATCTACAGTTATGCAGTGTTTTTTTTTTTTTTTTTTTCCCTTCGGTAATGAATGCACATTTCCTCCCCAGGGCTCACTGACTGACTACCTGAAGGCCAACGTGGTGTCCTGGAATGAGCTCTGCCACATCGCCCAGACCATGGCCAGGGGCCTAGCTTACCTTCACGAGGACAGACCTGGTCTCAAGGACGGACACAAGCCTGCTATTGCACACAGGTATGCGGCCTGTCATCTGACGGTGCTCTTGTCCCTCCCCCAAGCTTCTCTTACTGGCTGTCAGAGACGTGCTTCAGCCCCCAGTGCTCCACCAGCTCCTTGCTGTAGTAAAGTGCAGTTAACAGGTGCACGGTTTGTACGCACTGCCTCGGGACGCGCTTCTGCCTGTGTCTTTATTGAGTATATAGCCCCCCCTCCCAAAGATGCTCTTCATCACACATGGGTGTGTTGCCCTCGCAGGGACATCAAGAGCAAGAACATCCTCTTGAAGAGCAACCTGACAGCCTGCATCGCCGACTTCGGCCTGGCGCTAAAGTTTGAGGCTGGGAAGTCGGCGGGGGACACTCATGGGCAGGTGGGTTAGGGTTAGGCTTATAAAGGTGGGCAGATGGGCATCGTCCTGGGGGGGCAGGTTAGTGTTAGGCTTATAAAGGTGGGCAGATGGGCATCGTCCTGGGGGGGCAGGTTAGTGTTAGGCTTATAAAGGTGGGCGGATGGGCATCGTCCTGGGGGGGCAGGTTAGTGTTAGGCTTATAAAGG